CGGTTACCAAATTTTTTAATAGTTTTTCATATTTTCTACCTAAAACATTATTAGTTGTCAACATAATAGGTACCGCTAAACCGAATTTATTAAATACATTTTAATGTATCTGGTACTGCCGTATATTAGTCGTATATTAACCCGCCTTTCCTGAGACAATCCCACCCAAAGGTATTTGAAAAATAAGGAAAAGGTTAGCTGGTCAAACCTGTTGGGGAAATGTTTTAAATTGGAGAAAAATTGTGTTGAAATGAGAAGCAGAAAAGTGATGAAATTGGGGGGTTTTGCTAACGGACGACGCGCCCCACATGGCTTTGCTAACGTATGACGTTTAATGAAATGGTACATTCCACCTTTTTTCGATTTGCTGATGCTTGGGAGTTCGGATAAAATGTCTGATTCGGTTGAAAACACTACTTTTAACTTCGATTAAGCCTGAATAAATTCATCGGGTCACTTCTGGTGAAAGCACTTTGTTTAACGTCATTTAGCTCGACTATTTGGTCATAGATCAAAACAAAATAATATCAATAACTTGTCGAAATCCCCAACAACAGTGCTAATTTTGACAAGGGTCGTTTTACTTGTCAAAATAAAATAATCCTCTTCAAATAAAATAAATTAGTATAGTAAATAGGGTCGATCCACAGAGACTTAGTAATTTGACTAATTTCTTATGCAATTCTGTGTAGATTTTAATCCAGGAAACTGTAACAAAAATAAATAAAAAATAAAGGGGGTTGGCATGAATGAAATGAATAAAATGAAAGTAAAAAAATAACGATCAAGGTAAAATAAAGAGAAGCGTAAATAAATATTAAAAATAATAATGATAAAATCGTCTCAAGCTAGCTTTGTTTCAATTTCATTGATCATCGAAATAGATTTTTGCTCCGGGATTCATGTCAGTTACAGTCTACAAGGCCCAACCCTTTGTAATTTTCCCCTCTCTCATGTAACCGGTCTTCCCAAGTCTATCTTCGAAAGATGATTCTTGAGTGGATTAACGACAACTATTGCCGTTAAAACAATCAGAATTAAGTATTGGAAAGGTCCAACTCTGATTATGTTGTCTCAACTAGAATCAAATCTGATCTCGTTTTTCCTTAGCGTACCACAGCTAAGTTTGTTCACAGGTAGTCGAATTGTCACAGGCCGATCCTTTCTCCCAACTATATATTTAAACAACATCTAGACCAACGAGCTCTTTTTGATTTGAAATTGTTTAAAATTTGTAAGGTCGATTGCCAAACTAATAAACCAAAAAAACGAGAATTTATCCCGAATGGAATTAAGTGTTATTCAATTCTCACGAATGGAATTGATTCATTACTAGCTCTCATCTACAAAGAAATTAGCTAAGTAAAAGAAAGTGAAAAGGAAAAAGAAAAAAACTTTTATTAAAACGAAAACGAAGTAACATGGAAATAAAAAATAATAATCCTATAATTTTAGAAGATAATTCCAAATGTTTAAATTAAAACTTAATTTCCTAGAAAATCTCCTTAGATCATGTTGATTGAGCTATTTCCAGAATGCTATGCATACTGACTGGACCTTCTAAAAACTAAAACGTTAGACCGCGTCGTCCCAATGTTGTGCCCATGTCCTCAATCACGATCGGATAACAAAAAAATACGAATAATGCCCTTTTTTCTGCTGATTCCAGAAAGCAATCCTCTGCACGAAAATAATCAAAATAGAACTCAAATCAGAAGTAATAAATTCATAAAATAGGGAAATTAAAAAGTAAAAAGTGACAATTTAATACGCTCATCAGAGACTTGTCACTTGGCTAAGCATAAGAGACTTCATTTTCCTATTAGGATAACTGTTACTGCTGCCTGTTTAGATTTGGTTCATATGGATGTTTAGGGACCATTTCTTGTTAAAAGCGTATATTGTCATACTTATTTTTTAACTGTTGTAGATGACAAAAGTAGGTTCTTGTGGATCTTTCCTATGAAAGCAAAATCTGAAGTGCGAAAGTTAATAGTTGATTTTTTATAATTTGGTAGAAACTCTGTTTTCTGTTAGAATTAAATGCTTTAGAACTGATAACGCTGAGGAATTTGATCTAGTAGATTTTTTTAAGTACAAAGGCATTGTGCATCAATTGTACTCACACACCACAGCAAAATAGTGTAGTTGAAAGGAAGCATCAGCATATTTTGTCTGGTGCAAGGGCCTTGAGAATTCATGCTAATCTTCCTCTTATTTTTTGGATAGATTGCATTTTACATTCTGCATTTCTTATTAATATTACACTAACACCAATGTTAGATAATCTGACTCCTTTTGAAGTCTTGCATAAGCAACAATCAGTTTTGAACCAACTTAAAGTGTTTAGATGTTTAGCTTTTTCATCAGTTTTGCCTAAAACTAGAACAAAAATGCATCCTAGAGCTATTAAATGTGTATTTCTTGGTTTTCCTAAAAATATAAAAGGATACAGGTTATATGACTTAGACAGCAAATCTGTTTTTGTTTCAAGAGATGTTTTTACTGAAGATAAGTTCCCTTTTAAAGAAACTACAGTGTTTTTATTCTTCTGATATTGTTCTGCCAGCATATCATAATGATTTTTTGTTTGAAGATACTGCTTATACAGATCAGCTAGGTTCTCTTCAGGAACAACCAGTTTGTTCTCCATCTGTTGAGAACCATTCTGGTGGTAATATGTCTGTTACAGGTGAACCTGAAGCAAATTCTTCTGTAGCTAATACACCTATAGCAAGTTCTTCTCCTAATCCTTTCAGTACTGGGGATCACAACAATGTTGCTGAGCTGCCTACAGATTCATCACCAGCAGCCCCAAGGGTTCTGCCTTCTCAGTCAACCCAACCGTCTAAGAGGATTAATTTACCACAAAGGTATATAAAGACTTTGAAGTTTCATTGCCTAAAGCTAGGACTTCCACTCATAGCTTGGCACAAGTATTGTCTTATGACAATTTATCTTATAAGCATAGATCCTATGTTTGTAGTGCTTCAATTCTTGATGAACCTAAAAACTATTAACAAGCTGTGATTCATAAATGCTGGAAAGAAGCTATGAATACTGAAATTAAAGCTCTAGAAGGTAATAATACTTGGGACTTAGTTGAACTTCCTGAAGGCAAACAGACTATAGGCTGTAAATGGGTGTACAAAACAAAACTTAGGTCTGATGGTACTCTAGAAAGGCATAAAGCTAGGTTGATTGCAAAAGGATATAATCAAAAATCTGAAATAGACTTTATTGACACTTTTAGTCCTGTAGCAAAGATAACTACTATCAGGACTCTCTTGGCTGTTGCTGCAGCAAAGAAATGGAAATTATGTCAATTGGATATTAATAATGCTTTTTTACATGGAGACTTACAAGAAGAAGTGTATATGGACTTGCCTCTTGGTTTTCATTCCAATAAACCCGGTTTTGTTTGTAAATTGAACAAAAGTTTGTATGGTTTAAAGCAAGCCAGTAGGTAGTGGAATGAAAAATTGACTAATGCTTTGCTTACTCAGAATTTTACTCAAGTTGCTTCTGATTCTTCTTTATTCTTTAAGGGAGTAGGTTCTAAGTTTATTGCTTTAGTCATTTATGTAGATGACATTATTCTTTCTAGTGAAGATATGGAAGAGATTAGTAAGGTTAAAACTTATTTGCATGATATGTTTAAAATTAAAGACCTGGGAGATTTAAAATTTTTCTTAGGACTTGAAGTTTCTCGCTCTAAATCTAGATTTAAAATTAAGGAAACATGATTTTTAGGTTCTAAACCTGTGTCAACTCCTATGGTTACTAATAATAAACTTGCAAGGACAAAAGGTAAACCTCTTTTTGACATTACTGAATATAGGAAACTTGTTGGTAAATTGTTGTATCTTACAAATACAAGACTGGAGATTACTTATGCTGTGCAGCAGCTTTCTCAATTTCTGTCATCTCCTACTGAAACTCATTTGACTGCAGCTCATAGGGTTCTTCGCTATTTGAAGGGACCTCCAGGGCAAGGATTGTTTTTCCCAGCAGAAAATGATCTGAAACTTAAGGCTTTCAGTGATTCTGATTGAGCTTCGTGTCCTAATTCTTGACGGTCACTTACTGGTTTTTTGTTTTTTTTCTAGGTTCTACCTTGATTTCTTGGAAGTCTAAGAAACAACAGATCATTTCTCGTTCCTCAAGTGAAGCAGAGTATCGAGCTTTAGCAACTGTCACTTGTGAAATACAGTGGCTTCAGTTCCTTCTTAATGATCTTAATATTCTTTTTGTTCCAACAAATCTCTATTGTGACAATCTTTCCACTATTCGAATTGCAGAGAATCCTGTCTATCATGAACGTACAAAGTACATAGAGATTGATTGTCACCTAGTAGGGCAGAAGCTGCAGCAAGGAGTCATTGTCTTAATGTCGATTTCTTCTCAGAATCAATCGGCTGATTGTTTTACCAAAGCTTTACCTGTCGCTTCTTTTTAGAGGTCCATTTACAAGTTGGGTATTCAAAATTTGTATGCTCCATCTTGAGGGGGGTCTAACATAATATATAAGCTGTGCAAGATTGTAAACGGGTAGTTGGTTAGGAGGTAGTTAGAGTTAATGGTTAGTATATATATTAATGTAAGTGAAATAAAAGAGTTTTTCTGTTCTTCCACAAATCTTATTATTCTCCTTGTCAACTTGATGGTTGTAGCATATCTGGTTCCTTTTCGCAGTCAATGGATAACTTGAGAGTTGAGGATGTGGCCGCTGGCAGTCCCTCTGTTGGCGTCGAAGTTCCGGTTGGTGATCATGCAACGTGTCCTGAGGTTGGCAGTACTACTGGTAAAGAAGCTTTGGAACAAAGCCTTGATATTAATGGTCCTCAAGGTGGTGTTACAAATGTGGGGAATAGTCATTCGATGATGACACGGAAAAAATGTGGGGAATAGACATTATAAATCATGCAGTGATCCGAAGAAAAAGAAGATAATGTTGGGGAAAATAAAGAAAGAAAAAAGCACGTGTTCATTTTATTAATTTAAGCTGAATATCTTCCAAGTGGAAGAAGACCGGCTTACATATATATAAAGGAGCATTTCTAGTATTACATTTATAAAGAGATAGGATCAAATAGCAACGACATGACATCATGTTTGACGTTGAAGTTTTCATTACCAAATCCATCTCCATGTCGATAAACACAGTGAGCAGTCCTCGCCAGATTCAGCATGTGTTCAGTGACAGTGCCGGTTAATAGGCCCACACCAGCTCGGTTCACATTCACCTTTTTCCATGCTTCTCTCATTGCATTCTCAATGTGTTCACGGGCAGCTCCCTCGGAGACTCCATTTTCATACATGTAACACTGGATAGATTTAGCAACATCGCCTCTCTTCAATTCCTCCTGCATTACAATCAGTGAAATGTGATCAGTGCATATAACTCAAAGCTCAACTATCTGAAAATACATGGCTTATACATTCATACCGAAGACGTTCCCAAATCGTTTTGAAGTCGAAAAATCAACGATGACCAATATAATAACTCAGGGTAGCTTTCAAGGAATTCTAATTCCTTCTGGTTTATCTGATCTGTTACAAATAGACTTGACTGAACTGCAATTAGAGGGCCTGAGATTGATATCCAGCCATTTTTCAGGTACTCTTCAAAACTTGGTTTATATCCACTGTGGTACCATCTTGCCTCCAACAAGTAGGCTCTCAGTAAATCAACCCACTGAAGTTATAAGCAGAGAAAAACTATCACAATGCTTTAAACCATATGGAATTTATCAGGGAGAAGATAACATTACCTTATTTTTAAGATCCAACACAACATCATGACCTTGCTCCTTGAGAATGTCGTATGCCATCTCATTAACTGTGTTGTAAAGTGCAAAGAAGCATATCTTCATATAGTCCGGAAGTTGTTTCATTGCCTTATTATCCCACCTGAAACATGTAGAAAAGAGAAACAAATCAGTTAATCCTCTCCTCGAAAGATATAACGCATGTGGTAGAGATGTCGGAAGTCGGAACATTTTTTTGCCAACCTCTCAACGGCGTCGGTGAAGAGCACAAGTTCATCTAGTGTACCATAGACGTCATAAATATCATCAATCACTGTGATTAGTTGAATCGCCTTTGTGATAACTTCCCGGCAGCTCCCTAACTGAGGCTTGAAAGCTATCGCCACTGCCCAAAAGAAGGATTCCACTAACCTATCCCTGGCAAAGCTCAATCTGTCTCCAAGACCAGTGTTCTTCCACCACCTTTGCATGCAGTCCAATCGAAGGACATGAAAACCAATTATTATTCCGTCGTTTTAATTTTTGAGAAGAAAAAAAAAAGCTTCTTGTTGTATACCTCGACAAATCATTGAGTTCTTCTTGATACAATCCTTGCAAAATGTTGAAATCCAACTTTGCTAGGTTTAATACAGTGGGGTTGAAGTTGGCTCTTCTTTCATATACATCAATATACCACCTTGCTTCTAACCTTGGTATCCTCCAGTGTAGTGGAAGGTCCAGTGCATGGGTGACTTGGATGGCAAGATTAGGATCAACGTTACTGACATGTTTGAGATGTTTAGACGTGAATTGCCAAGCTGCTTCCATGATGCTTTCTCCTTCGAAACAGTGGTATGAAGCTTCATACAAGCTCACCATTCCCTTGATATCATCACGTAGAGATAGCCTGAAATTGCCTTCTTTGTCCCTAAAGCTGTCAAAAACCTCTGCACACCAAAACCAGTCGGTCATTACAAACAGCCCCAAACAAGAATTTCACAAATATTTCCATTCTAAATTAAAAATTTGTTTTACTGGAAAATGATTTCGGTATAATTTAATAAATTATTCAATGGTTTGTGAGTAATATTATAAAAAATGTAAACTACACGGGTGACCACTCAACTATGGTCAAAAATCATTTTAACCACTGATATTTTAATTTGATCAAACAAGTCATTCAAACTATAGTAAAAAATCAAGCCATATGTCGTTAACGGTAAACATAACAGGTGATGTAGCAGTTAAACTATTTTGGTATAATTACAAAATTAGTCTATGTTACTTATATATTCTTTCAAATTGGTCTTTATTTTAATAAATTCAAATAATAACATTTGATTGGAGGATTAAATTTATTTTAATTTTTTTAATTTAATAGATTTACTTTCCTCCAATCAGATGATGACACGTCACCATTTGCAAAGAAAATAAATCAAACATAGGTGGGAAGGTGAGATTCGAACCAAGGGCCGTTTAGGTGAAATAGAAAGCACCAAACGACTGGGCTTAGGCATCCATTTGAATTGGTTTATACAACAAATGATATATATATATCTCTCTCTTAGTAAATAAAATTAAGAATATTTTTTACATTAAAATTTTTATTTAATATTATAATTTAATAATATGTATATATTAATAAAAACATATATAATAAATTATAATTTAATAGAATAATATATATAACCAAAATTACGAATATGATAAACATACTAAAACTATGTTGATAGTTGTCATCGGTCTGACCGACTTTGGTTACTGAAAATAAAAATTGAGGGGAAATGGTACCTGACCTTATTGGTTCGTCCGGTTTAAGTCTCTATGCTATTAATTTTATTTAACCCCCTTTTATTTAAGTCCCTTTTGCTGAAGTCACTAACGTGGTTGAGGGACTAAAATCGAACGGACCGATAATGTTAGGGACTGAAATTAGATGGACTGATAATGTTAGGGACTTGAATCGGACGGACCGATGGCGTTAGTGACCATTTCCCCTTAATTGTTTTCAGTGACCAAAGTCGTTCAGACCGAAAATATAGGGGACTATCAACATAGTTTACCCTTATATTATTTGTTGTCTAAAGAAAAATTTATTAAGATACAAAATATATATTATTTGTTGTATAAAGCAAACCAAATGGATGCCTTGGCATAATGGTTTGGTGCTTTCTACTTCAACCATAGGGTCATTGGTTCAAATCATACTTTCCCACGTGTCACCCTCTAAGGAAAGTAAACTATTAAATTAATAAATTTAATCTTCCAATCGAATGATGACACATATTATTATTTTTATTTATTAAAATGAGGACCAAATTAAAAGAATATATAAGTAACATGAACCAATTTTATAATTATACCAAAATGGTTTAACTGTCATGTCACTTGTTCCGTTGACTATTAACGGCATATGACTTGATTGAAGCATTTAAATAGTTGGATGATCTATTTAATTAAATTAAAACATCGATGGTCAAAATGATTTTTGACTATAGTTAAGTGGTCATCTATGTAGTTTACCCTTATATAAATTACTTTTTGCTATTCTATATTTTTTTCAAAAATTATTCATAACAAATTTAAAATATAATAAATAATATTTTTTTACACCAATATAAATTTATTACTTAATATTGTTTGATAAATTTTTCAAAAGTTATGCATTATAAATACTATTTACAATAAATAATATTATTCGTTATAAAAATTTAATCATAATATTTTTAAATTATTATTATAATTTAAATTAGTATTATTTATGATAAAAATATTATTAACTTATTGACATTAAACGCTCCTACTACTTACATTCATGAACTTCAAACCCATAATCTCAATGAATAACAAAAATTCTTTTACCATCGAGATCGTTTGATTTGCGACCAATGTAATTTAGTTATTTTTCCCTCAATCTTTCCTATTTGATTGAAAAGAAAATTATTATTAAAGTTATTTACACCAATGTCAATAAGTTATTTTCTCCCTCAAATATATTTGCACAGATGCAAGTTAATTGGAAAAAATAGTAAACCCTTGAGAAAATGATTTACCGAAAAAAGAATAGTGTTTTTCAATAATATAACGTACAAACACTCCATACCTGGAGATGAATGATATCCATGTTCCCTGAGGAGCCTAAATTCCAAAGCAGTTGCATATAGATTATCCTTTTTAATTTGATTGCTGTCGTTGTTCCTGTAGATATTCCCTAAAATGTTGTGAATCTCATCATCAAAATGATACGCCACTCCAAGCCTCAGCAGGTTATCGATCATCTCAAGCTCATCCAACGGCTCATCGCCTCCCATGTCGTTTAGCATCATCCTAACTCTTCCTTTTAGCTCTTCAACTTGCCCACCGTACTCGTCTCCCTGAAATCGAAAAAGCTTGAGTCACTGATTTTTTTTCTTAAAGATATTAATGAAAATGATGATAAATGCATGATACCTTATAATTACTTGTCAATAACTGCAGATCATGGTCGTTCCAAAGGGGAGGCAGGAAGTTTCCCGACCGCCTTTTGGCCGATAAACACGAAATTTGGGTGCTACCAACAACAGTGGCACTCTTGCTACATCTCTGTGGCCCAATCTTAGGGTTTCTACCCATGAAAAAGGGAGTTACGGAAACAAGGGATGAAGCCATTTAACTATGGAAACTCCTACTGATGAGTATTTTCTGTACGACCTCTGTTGTTAATTGCACAAATTTAATGTTGATCACTAATATATATGGGTTTAGGGTTCAGGAAAAGGCAGGTCCTTAAAATTATACATTAACTTTTATATAATTTATAATCTATGAAAATCTTCAACCACTCCAGCAACAAATCAATACCAAAAAAAGAAAAATATTGGCATACCTCAAACTCTATCAATAAAAACAAAAAATTCCCTGTGTTCAATATTAACCACGTTTATAAAATTTGGGATAGTGAACATCCATAATTACTATAGCATTAACAAAAGGCAAAAGATGCTTTTTTAAAAATTGTCAAAGTTGAACCTATCAAGTCGTTTTCATTGTTTTCTTATTCGAATTCAAACCTAATTCAATTTATGAGTGTCGGCAGGCAATGGCGACAACTTTTTAGAAAAGAGTTTTCTAGTATGTTAAGCGAAACATGTAATATTAATGAAGTAAGAATCGTGACAGAAGCTAATACAATGCTTATCAATCAAGTTGATTAGCTGCAAAATTAATGATAAATGCGGCAAGAAATCATGACAGCAACATAAAGAATTGAGGTGGCAACGAACGCTTGAGAATTGGCAAGCAAATGACAACACAAATTATATCACGACATGGAAGCTTGAGGCAGCTATTTGTGTAGCAAAATAGTCAGTTACAAATACCAATATAAAGACTTAAAACGATTGAAGTATGATAGTGTAATGTGAGAGTAGCAAAAGAAAACACGAGAGATAGTGAGTGAAAGAAATATAGCTTAGCGAAGATTTGTTGAGAGTAGAGTTTATAAACTAGCCGAAGCTAGAGTTTATAAACTAGCCGAAGCTAGAGTTTGTAGTCGTGTGTTTTCGAATTAATTAATAATATTCATTGAGTTATAAAGTACATCGAGTGTTCATCAACGCTTCCAACAATTGGTATCTAGAGTTTGGTTCAAGTTTACGCAACAAAGAAATTACCAATATAATTCAACCTCAAATCCTAAGATTAACAAAGACAAATTATGACAATTGGAGTATCCAAATAAAGGCATTACTTGGTTCCCAATATTGTTGGGATGTCGTCGAGAAAGGCTATGTCGAACCTTTAATGACACACACTAATTTATGATTTGTAAAACATGTGTCATAAAATAAATGTCATGTTTTTTAAAATATGAACGATTTATGACTTACAATAATGTGTGTCATATTTAATAGTCATAATCCATAAAATTTGCAAAAACACGGAGTATACTTTTTAATTGTGTGTCATTTTTAGGAGTCGTATTCTAATTTCCCCATTATTTTCATCCTTTCCCGCTTCTTCCCCCTCCTAATGTTTTCCACTCCTTTCATTCTCTCCTTTTCTCTCCTACTTTTCATCCCGATTCTCTTCTTCTTGTTAGGCCCGAGTTTGAATCCCTAGCCTCTGCCGCCCATTTCCGCCTTCGATGAACTCGACGATCTCCGTCTCTCCCTCCGCGCCACCGTCTCTCCCTCCACCTCGTCCTCACAATGATCCCACTCTCTTGTTCGCTAATATCGGTACGATTTATTTTCTTTGATTTTCTGTTTAGTTGCATTTACAACTTTAAAGAGACGAACCAACCCTATTATTTTTCTTGTTTGTTTTCTAAGTTTCCTCTTTGTTTTGTCTATATATTTGTTACTCATTTTAAAATACGAGTCTATTATCTAACAAAATTTTAATGGTGATTTTCATGTTTAGTTTTTGCAGATGTTGCAGAAAACTGAGATTCCAGAAAAACCCATGTTTAAACCTGAATTCCCTCCTCAAGGTTTATTCCATTACCGCTTTTTTTCACTGTTTGTTATCTGTTTCATTGTGACCTAAAGAGTCATTAAACATGTTGTTTAGCGGGATTACTTTAGAATATCATGTCTAATTGTTGAGGTGATTTAATTTGCATATGTTTGCTTTGAGCTTATTTGTAAGTGGTAAATGGTTATATATGGTGTTTCTATTAGTGTTCCTTTTTGGTATTTTGTAGATTAATGAGGAGTCGAGTGAGAAAGTTTTGGAAGTGGAGCAGAAGTACAATGAAATACGCAAGCCAATCTATGATAAGCTGAATGAGAAGATTAAGTCGATTCCTGATTTCTGGTTAACAGCTGTAAGCTCTTCTATTATTTCCTATCAATTTAGGGATTTTTCCCTTAAATCTGTCTCCATGTTGAGAAGAAGGATTTCAGTTGATTTGTTCTTTTATGTACAGTTCTTGAGTCATCCTGCTCTTGGTGAACTTTTGAATGACGAGGATCAGAAGGTTTAATATCACTTCTTTCCCAAACTGAAACTGATTCAGCACTTATATTACTTTGCAAAATTTATTTTTAGTTCCATTTATTTATTCATTCATTCATTTATAAGAAGTGTTATGGATTTTCCTGATATGTAATTCTAGGTAATTTCTTTCTTTCTTATTTATTCATTCTTCTTATTTTCAACCTTTTGTTGCTTGATAGATATTTAAGTATATTAGCTCACTTGAAGTGGAAGATTTTAAAGATTAGAAATCTGGCTACTCCATTACATTTGTAAGTTTATTTATTTTCCTTTTCTTATCTTATTCTGTAGGAAATTGAAGTTGCATTTTACATTTAATCATGGTTTAATCAGTCATCACAATTTGTTGACTCACTTTTGTTATATTTTTCAGAACTTCGATCCCAATCCATAATTTGAAGATGCGAAGCTTACGAAGACCTTTACATTCCTTGATGAAGGAACCAAGATTACTGCTACCATAATCAAGTGGAAAGAAGGCATGGTGGGGGTTTCTTCTCTTGTCATGTATACTCATGTTATTTGTTTCCTTTGGTTATCATGTTAAATTAGTTTTCTAAATGTCAAGGGCTTTCCAAATGGAGTTGACCATAAGAAGAAAGGAAACAAGCGACAGTTTGCTGAAGAAAGGTTTGCTATCATATTTGTCAATCAAATTTCTCCCCAGCCTGAGGACTTTAGTCACATAAAACCTGAGATTAATTTCAGTGTTGTGTAATGTAGTCACTTCATTTTTGTTTTCTCAATAATTTTATTGAACTTCAGCTTAGCATCTTATAAGAATATTAGTTATTTCATGAGTCATCTTCTTTTTGTTATGTAGAGCTAAACCTTGGCAGATAGAGTTTTCCTTTTTTAGTGCAGACAAATTAAGATTACACATGCATTATGTATTATTGTGTATTGTGATTATAAATAGTATGCATTTATATGTTTCTTTTAGTTTATTAAGTTGCATTATAACTTCTAACATGGTAGAAATTTGTTGTACTGCAAAGCTTGGGTCATTTATGCCATTGTCTTGTATTTGATTTTGCCTCTTTCACTTAACCACCATCTCTATATTATACTAAATTTATTACACATGAATGCAGCTTCTTTACCTGGTTTTCTGATGCTCAGCAGAAAGATGACATGGATGAAATTCATGATGAGGTAAACCCTTTATGCATGTGCTGTGTGAATGTAGGTTTTCCTTCTTTTTTTTCTCATTTTTTTAAAGAGCTGGCGTCTGGCCTAAGCTTTCACTTGATAAACACTACAGGTAGCAGAGATTATCAAGGAGGATTTATGGCCCAATCCCCTCACATATTTCAACAATGTAACTTCATTTCCTTTGGATTCTTCCCCCGGTTTTGTTTTATACCATTTATGATCATCTTATGCTTCCTTTAATTTTTTTCATAACCTGATGCAGGATGCTGATGAAGAAGATTTTGAGGATGATGAAGAGGTACATCATCTTTTGCCTTTTTTTTCAATTACTAAATTCATAATCTTCCTGTACCATTTGTTCTAGCATGTTTTCTTTCAAGATAATGGCATGTTGTAGGTTTTGTGGTCTTTATTTTAACATTTTTGGTTTATTTTTCAATAAAGATAGAGTAGATTGGTCTATTTTCATTGTAGATATGTTTGTAGGACATGCTTACTAGAGTTTAGCTTGTAGTTAAAATTTGAATTCATCAATTGAGTAATAAATTGCTAATAATAAAAATGTGAATATAGAGCTCCCTTACTAGGGTTTCTCAAATGGTTGGAAAGGATGCATCCTTTTAGTTTCAAGTATATGCTCATTTTCTTTTGCTGGAGTGGTTGTGAAGGTGACATTTGTGTGAGATATACTCCTAGAGCGGTTGGAAAGTATATAACGTACAAACACTCCATACGAGAAGAATGATATCCATGTTCCCTGAGGAGCCTAAATTCCAAAGCAGTTGCATATAGATTATCCTTTTTAATTTGATTGCTGCCGCTGTTCCAGTAGATATTCCCTAAAATGTTGTGAATCTCATCATCAAAATGATACGCCACTCCAAGCCTCAGCAAGTTATCGATCATCTCAAGCTGATCCAACGGCTCATCACCTCCCATGTCGTTTAGCATCATCCTAACTTTTCCTTTTAGCTCTTCAACTTGTCCAACGTACTCGTCTCCCTGAAATCGAAAAACCTTGAGTCACTGAATTTTTTTCTTAAAGATATTAATGAAAATGATGATAAATGCATGATACCTTATAATTTCTTGTCAATAACATAAGATCATGGTCGTTCCAAAGGGGAGGCAGGAAGTTTCCCGACCGCCTTTTGGCCGATAAACACGAAATTTGGGTGCTACCAACAACAGTGGCACTCTTGCTACATCTCTGTGGCCCAATCTTAGGGTTTCTACCCATGAAAAAGGGAGTTACGGAAACAAGGGATGAAGCCATTTAACTATGGAAACTCCTACTGATGAGTATTTTCTGTACGACCTCTGTTGTTAATTGCACAAATTTAATGTTGATCACTAATATATATGGGTTTAGGGTTCAGGAAAAGGCAGGTCCTTAAAATTGTTTATTAATTTTTATATAATTTATAATCTATGAAAATCTTCAACCACACACGCCAAATCAATCCCAAAAGAAAATTGGTATACCAAATCAATACCACAAGTGTTGGAGTTTTTATGAGGTGTCATATTTGTTATCATATGGGTGTTTTGTATGTTGGTTAGTTGGTGTTTCCGTGGTTTATT